GTGGTTTTTCGAGCCCTGTTTTATACCAAACAATTTGATTGATTTCTGCTCTTTAACCATCCTTAGAAAAACAATGACAAATCAAAAGATTTATACACTGTGTTCTGTAATCACCACCATCAATATGCATTTTAAGGATTTACTTAAAAAACATATTAAGAAAGTAAACACATTAAGAAGTTTCAAATTAATCTTCAAGCAACGAAGAAACGAAGACGCTACCGAAATAAAATCATTAGCGAGGAAAGTGTGATGAAAAACATTCCATTACATACTCGATAACCTGATGAAACTTGGAGGCGTTTCTAATAACCATCTATCAATTTTTTCATGTTTCCCCCGGCATTAAAACAGGTTTTGATGTCTTCAGTCTGATTATATTTCAAGTCTGATTATTAATTTACGACTCCCTAATGCATTAAACTTTTTTCGATAAGAAAAAGCTAAAAATATAAGCTAAGGCTGATGATTACGAAGCACACTATGTAAGAATACCATATATGTAAAATATAGATATAATATAGTTGACATTAAAAAAATTTACTGGCTTCAGGAATAAATATTTAAAAGATTAATTTTTAATTTATATACAGTCAAACCCCGTTATAGCAAACTGCCTGGTATGGTGAACGAAATGTTCGATCCCGCGCCTTGCTATACACATTATTTTTTTGTGGATACAGTAAACCAAAAGAAAAGAGGAAATTGGATAATATGAACTTTTTTAAGTCTTCGACTGATTTTTTCTCCTTCATTTTTTGGAAATTTTGAAATGTCTACATAAAATACACATACCGATTTTTAAAACCATCTATTGAGAGGAATGTGGCCTTAAGTATTTTTTCTTGTTTGCTTCTTCTATCTCAGTTTTCCATCCCCAAATTTTTTGTACGCAAGACGAAGAGTAATAAAAAATAAAAGTTCTTTTTGTTACTACGTATTGTTTTTTAATCATTTTTGTACTGCTTTTTATAGGTCATTTATTTAAATATTGCGTAATAAAAGAGAGCAGTTCGTAAAAATTGACTAAAATTGTTTGCAGTAAGGATATAGTGAACTCTCGGTTATAGTGAACCGAAATTTCGGTCCCTTGAAGGTTCACTATAGCGGGGTTTGACTGTATAATGTTTTGAAATGTTGCGTTTTATATAATGTCCTTTTATTTTAAATTCTATAGAGCGAAATAATTGAATTACGAAGCTCTGAAATAATGAAGAGATAAATACGTAATGGAAACATTTCTCATTCATTTATATATATATTTATTTGTTTGTTGGGACAAAAAGTATATGTACTTTTTGTGACACTAAACCTGATCTAAACTATAAACTGTTCAAATAAAGGTTCTCAGATAATTTTAACAAACAGTAGTGGAATTTAAAAAAAAAAAAAAAACGTTTTTGGAAAAATTGAGGATTGTAAATTATCTTACATAAATTAAATTATTATTCAATATATAAGATATTTAGATTATTTTCAATGGAAGTTGTAAAAGTTCATAGATCTGTTTTTTTCTATAAAAAAAATTACCGAAATTTTGGTTCAATTCTGATGAGCAGCGTAGAGCATTATACTTCAAAGAGCCTTATTCCCAAGATGTATTTTTTCAGTCTTAAATGTGACAATTGTCGGTGGTTGAGGTGATAGAGCGTTCCCCAATGAAGTGATCCAGGTTCGAATCCCATCAGTGGTTGGTTGATACGAATTCGGCTCCCGGGTCGCACTGTCCACAGTGCTGACGTAAAATATCCTCAATGGTAAACAGATCCTGGATTAGATTCCCCTTGCCTTCGGGCTAACCTTGGGAGGTATTCAAAGTTTTCCTCTCCATGTAACGCAAATGCGGACTAGTAACAATAAAAAAATCCTCGGTAAAGGCTAGCTTGTTTCAATGCTTGATCTAGGAGTACCCTCGTCTTCTTAGTTGGATTCAAAATAACAAGGCTACTGTGTTGAACAATGACAGTCGCCCCCTGACACACAGAATATGACATAAAGTCAGACTTAAGGTGACTTTTTGAAACTTTTGTAAGTTTGGATTTTATAAAATTAAATCCATTAGCTAGTCTTGCCACAACTAGTAAGCTTTTTCACAACTAAATAAGTTTTCACAACTTTAAATTAACATATCTCGGTAATGTAAAAATATTCATCCGATTTGGTTTAAAATTGAACTGTTACTGTTACTTATGTAGTTTCGATTACACTTAGATATTTATCATATTTGATTGAAAGATAAGAGTTCATTGTTTCTTACTGTATCACGAATTTGAAAAATATTAAACCTACACGTAAAACAAGCTACAATAACAATACACATCCTAATAAAATTTTAGGTAAATGGGATAATAACTTGATGTAATTATTGCGCCCTGCAATTAACAAATGAAACTGCGGAGGGATTCCCTTGTCTTCTGAGTTGGGTTCAAAATAACAAGACGAACATCGAACGAATTTTATTTTTAATTATTTTCTAAAAAATTTGGAGTAGGGTACTTGCGTCTTCTCTTGCCTCCAGTTGGCTACGCTACTAAATACCAATAATAGGAATCTCGATTAATATCGTCTGCTTCGATGTATTAAATACTTAAGTAATAAAAATTGTATTATTTAATTTTATCCGGGTAATAATTCGGGAGATTTTTTTCGCGAAAAAATTGTCACAGATCGATACTATCTGAAAATTTTTTTTTAATTTTTCTTTTAATATGCAGTAACATATTTTTCAATAGATTTTTTTATTGTATTCAAAAATTGTGAAAACTTGCTACATTTTTTTCTTCTTTTTTTTCCCATATTATTTATAAAATTGGAAGAAAAAAAATTAGCAACAGTTATGAATTTCTTTATTTCAGGATTTCTAAAATTATTAGATTTACGCGAATATTGCTCAACTATGAGTTGCATTTGCGTTGCTGCTGATATACGCTGCACATTTAAAATTGAAATTAATGATTTTTTTCTCAACTAACTTTTACAGGAAGGAAAATGTAATAAAACTCATTGATCCACCCATTCTGGCAGAAAATTGAGGAATTAATTTAAATTTAAATTAATTTAAATTTAAATTAAATTTTTTATTAATTTAAATTAAAAGAAGCTATTTAATGTTTATAGCATTAAAATAATTTTCAGTAATTAAACAGGGTGTGTAGTCAAATTATTCAACTAAAAATAAGCACCTTTTAAGCCCTTTCCATCACTTTAAAAAAATATCATAATTAGGCAGGGTTGGAAAGTTTTTGACAAATGACGGTTTTCTCTAGTTTTTACCGTCATGTCAAAAAAAAAACCTTTTGGCATTGTTTTTGAATCATTGTTTTGTAATTATGAATCATGTAAAACGAATGGCGTTTTCATACGCGACGGATTAACAATACGCTGGAATAGATTGGGGTTGAATTAATTGTGAAAATGTTGAATAGAATAATGTGAACTATGCCTTTTTGCATAATTTGAATCGAAAATCAACATGGTAAACGGAAAATCTCATATTGAAAAAAGGAAAATTTTAAAGCACTTTTAAAAACACCCAATGAAAAAAGCACCTTTAAGGGCTTTTGAAAAAACGAAAATCGAAAATAAGCACTTTTAAACACTTTTTAAAAACGCTACGCACCCTGTTATAATTGTTATCGTTAAGTTATCTTAAGTAAGTTATCTTTAAGTTAAATTAGGTTATGTATCTAACCTGAAGAATTTACGTCAGACACCAAACAGTTTACGTTCGACACTTATGTAAAAAACTTCAAATTAACGTTTCATCATATTTTACACATCAAAAACTGCTTAGAATTCTTTATCCAACCGACAGCTTCTAAATTCTGTCAAATTTACATTTAAATTACAAACAAATTCACAGAGTTTAAACAATTTGTAAATGAGTAATCATTTTTTCCTTTCGTGTGATTTACGTCAGACGCAAACAATTTAATCCATCTCATTTGAAATTATCATTATTAGTTTTTATAAAACAAATGGTTTCTTTGATAGGTCTTGATGTATTTGCATTAAAAATTTGATCTTTTTAAACTTAATTTATATTTCTCTAACCTAGCAGGGGCTCTAACCCATGATCGTCTACCACTGAGGATACTTTTACGTCTGCACTGTGGTCGGTGCCAGCCAGGTCACGGATTTCGTATCCAGCAGCCATCGCTGAGATTCGAACCCGGATTACGTCATTGGAAGTGGAATGCTCTATCCCATGAGCGACTTCCGTACAGATTAACCACTTCCCTAATTAACCCGAGTTAACTCGGGTACGTATATATTGCAAATATTCGTCATCCCGAGAAAACTCGGGCTTAGCAGAATTTGTCAGTAGCTACATTTTAATTTTTCAGGTTTTTATTCGTCCGTTGGCAAATAATAATAATAATCTGCTATGATTGGAAGTTTGCTAAGTATTATATGGGGTTTTTGCCGTTGGACTGTGGGACTGCACACGTGTTTTGGGCGATTGTATATACGATGGTTGTTGAATTTACATAGTAATAAGAGTAAGAAAAAAATGGCGTATTCCTTCACTGACGTTTGAAAAGTATCATTTTGTATTGTCCCTTGTTTTAAGAACTACCATACAAAGACTAATATTTAACTTTTTTTCATTTGCCCGAAATAACTCGGGATAGTGAACTGATTTTAAATTAAATGTTTCGTACACACACAAAAAATTTAAATTTCAACTTAAAATTTGTACGTTATGTTTTGTTTTAGTTCCTTGCATTTATTAATGAAATAAAAAAATACGTTAATTTTTTGTCTTTTTTTTCTTCTAAATAATTGGTATGGTTAAATGAAATGTGCATATTTAGGAAATATTTATGTTTATTAGGATTAATAGAGGCACCGACCTTGAAGGATTTATTCATAGAACTCTTCTCGTTGTAAAAAAAAATAATAAATTCAATTCAATGGGAGCAAAAATAACATAGTGTTAACGAAAGCAAAACTAGAATAAATTGCCCTCTTACACCATCGAGAGTGTTTAAAATTTGTTTCTCACCCTTTTTTCAAATATCAAAATAACTATTGATTGCAGACTGACGAAAAGGGTGCAATAGAAGAAAGACGTGACCTTTAATCACATTTTGCGTTCATGCGTATAGTAAACAACTAAAATCAGGTAAAGCGAGTGTTTCGAAAATAATTTGATTTTCTTTGCGTTATTTCGACAAAATTGAGAGTTTTGTGGCAGATATATAAGTAACTTACACCCATCTGCGGTTTATTAGCATTAACAACCATGGTAAGTACAACTTTTCTACACTTCATTTGGGGGTAAAATAAACATATATATATACTATGTATATATATATTTTCAACAGATTCTATTGTTTCTCGATTAGTTCTTCAAATTGATAAAAACAGTTTGAATTAACTTTAGTATTATATTTTTTTTCACATTATTAGAAACAATATTTTGAGGATTTGAAATAAGGTTTGGATAAACTCGCATATATTGTGTTTTGCGAGAAATTTTTCCTTGACCAGATTGTTTTTATAGATATTTTTTTGATGTTCTAATTACAGTCGAACCCCGTAATAGTGAACATGGTTTATAGTGAACTCCCGGGTATAGTGAACGAAATGTTCACTCCCGCGCCTTGCTGTACACATTATTTTTTTGTGGATACAGTGAAACAAAATAAAAGAGGAATTTGGATATTATGAACTTTTTGAAGTCTTCGATTGATTTTTTCTTCTTCATTTTTTGGTAATTTCGAAATGTCCACATAAAATACATGTACCGATTTTTAAAGCCATCTATTGAGTGCAATGTAGCCATAAGCATTTTTTCTTGTTTGCTTCCTCTATCTCAGTTTCCCATGCCTAAATTTTTTGTGCGCAATACGAAGAGTAATAAAAAATAAAAGATGACACATTTTATGTTATTTCATACTGTTTTTCTAATCATTTTTGTATTTATTTTCATTGGTAATTCATTTAAATAATCTATACATAATAATAAACGCAGCTGTGTGTCTGTAATCAGAATATATCGCCCCAGAAGCCTCGCCCAGGCACGAAACTCGGCACATAATTGTGTTTTGACATAATGAAGAAGTATTTTTTTCCCTTTTCAAAAATTTGGATTAGTTTTTTAGTTATCAGTCATTTCGTAAGAAAATCTATGCTTTTTCGTCTTCAAAGAGCCATATTCAAAAAACTATTAAAAAATGCATATACTTTTCCCCACTCTTATAAATGTATGCTAATGCGAACCTTACAATTGAAATATTAATTTTCGACAACTTAAACCAATAATATACGAAGGAATTAATAATTTAATTGTAAAGTTCGCATTAGTTTACATTTATTAAAGTGGAGAAAAGTTTAACTTTTGTATTAAAAATGTGGCAACATATTCGATAAGTAAATAGAACGTTTCGCTTTGATATATTTGTCGCTGCTCATTATTGTAATAAGTTTTTCTTCTTCTTTCCACGCTCTATTTTTTTTTCCTTAAGCGAAGACGATAATTTTTGTAGCGATATAGAATTAGAAATTGAAACCATAAAAAATTATATAGAAATTGATACCCTAAAAAATTAATTCGTTTTCGTGTTCTTTTCATGTATTTAGCATTTTAGTTTTTTTTTTCTTAAGCGTTGTAGCTACATAATATATAAAATAGGAATTTAAGAAAAAATTGCAGGACAGGAGCACTTTAATTGTCCACTAATCTTCAGATTTCCTGCTATGTTTTAAAAAACTTTATTTGTGAAAACCTTTAGCGTGGCGGACAGCTGGCCGCCTTATGCGGCTAGTATGTAATAAAAGGGAGCAGTTCGGAAAAATTAACTAAAATTGTTTGCAATACGGATATAGTAAACTCCCGGTTATAGTGAACCGAAATTTCAGTTCCTTGAACGTTCATTATAGCGAGATTTAACTGTATAAGCAGAAATATATTTTAACGTTTTTTAATTATGCAAAACATTCTAATAGTTACTAAAAATACTGTTATAAATCCAAAAACTGTAATTTGATTATTTTTTCCATTCATGTTCAAAACATTATGAATAGTAAATTTCGTAAAATAAAGAAACTTTAATGATAAATAACTGCTTCTCTTAAATAACTGCAATTTTCTGCAAATTTGAAAAATCATCGTTTGGAAGTGAGCCGTGTTTGGGATGAAGATTTCACCTTTAACGCAGAAAAAGAGACCGGTGTTTCACGCTCTATTTTTTTAACCGTAAATTTTTAAAATGCTAAATTTGATATTTTTCTCTTTTGACCTAAATTAATGTAAAATAACGAAACAAAAAAGTATGAAAAATATGTTTAATACAAATTCTGCGTCAAAGGGTTAGGTAGTTTATGATAATTTTGATTTTCAAAAAAAACGGTCAATGTTTTTGAATAGATGGACAGAAATTGTTGCGAACAACTTGAATGAAATAATAGCATACTTATTTTAAATATTTTTTTAAATAAGTAATAGGAAACAGCATTGTCACATTACCTTTAAAAAATGTAGAATATTTCTATGCAGCTTGATTAAAATCGTTAGACAATGTTTTACAACAGATAAATAATAGAAACTCTAAAAAATTGTTAGATGGAAATGTTTACTTTTCTTGTTGTTTTGTTTTGTATTGATATTATGAATTTTATTTTCATTATTTAACAAAAAAATTTTTTTTTCCACATTTAAACCATTTTCATAAAACATTGCTCACTTAAATAGCAGAAAAAATGCATGGGCCTAAAAAATAAGTCGCTATAAAGAAAGTCGTAATAATTATTAATAATCGTAATAATTCATTTTTAACTCGTTATAATTAAAAAAAATTTGTATCCTTAGTAGGATTGTCACAGTGACTTGAAAAAAAAAATTTGCTGTCACTATATACTTCTGGGCGTATTCGTGATGTTACAGTGTGTATTTCAATGTTCTAAAACAAAAATATATAAATTCATTGCTTATTTTCTGAGAAAAATATTTTTCATGCTATTTCAAAAGTGATTGGGATTGACATTCAGTAGAAGTTTTGATTGAATAAAATATATTTAAAAATTGATCCCTCTTATTTTCTTAAAAAATTTATTTTAAACGGTGCTTTTCCTCATAAAATATGAATAGGTCATAAAACTGCGCATTTAAAACGGCTCTTTTAGTAACCCATATATTCAATGGATTTTTTTTTTCAAATGCTTTGAAACGGCTTCTATTCCTAACGAAAGGCTGAAGTCAGATATTACAGTTGCAATTTTTGACTCTACAAAAATAAGCAAATGTCTCATGCTTACGCAAACAAGTTGCAACACTTTAATTTTGACTTCGGTAACCCAATTCATATTAAAATCCATAATTTTGCATTAAACAAAATAAATGATTCTTTTTATGTGATAAAGTTTCGCGCAGAATTTTAGGTGATTTTCGACAGCGGACAAGAGAGCCGCTAAAGCTCAGAGGATAGAGCGTTTGCCTTCCAACGATGCAAACCGGGTTCAAATCCCATTAGATACGAATTCCGCATACTGCTTGCACCGACCACAGTGCTGACGTGAAATATCCTCAATGGTAGACGGATCATGGGTTAGAGTCCCCTTGCCGTCAGGATTACCTTGGGAAGTTCTCGTGGTCGTCCACTCCATGTAACGCAAATGCGGGTTAGTTCTAATGCGAAGGCAAATTTCCCCCGATACTTGATCCAGACGTACCCTTGTCTTATGGATTTGTTTCAAAATTACAAGGCTACGTAGTTGATTATTAGTAGTCGTAAACCCAAACATTGGATTATAAAATAAAATATATGGGTCAAGAATGGGATACCTGCAACTGACGTAGTGTGGGTCTCTCGATCCTGATTGGTTGTTGAAGAGTGGAATTTGTTTACATTACCATCAACTGTTTTTTTCCCATTCTATTTCGAGTAAGACAAGCCCGTCAAGTATCAATTTTCTTAAGTGACACATTTTCTATATTCTTACGCAAGGATTCTTTCATAAAGATTTCAGTTCTTTCATTAAATATTTCTTATTTAACACAAAGACAGGCATGAAGACATGTAGGACATAAACAAACTAATTATGCACAGAAGTTGAGATGTACACAAAACAAAAAAATATCATGATTATAATAAAATGCATAAGCAAATAATAAATCTAAATTAAGCAAAAAACGTTCACAAATACGAATTATATTTCAATAAATTCGATGTGCGATGCGGATCTGTAATTTTATTTTATAACCGCCGTTGAACAGCCGACCCAATTTTACGGGTTAACGACTACTAATGTTCAACTCCGTAGCGCTGTAATTTTGAACCCAATCCAGAAGACAAGAGAACTCCTGGATCGAGTTGTGGGATAAATTTGCCTTCGTGGAGGACTTTTTGATGGAGCTAACCAGCATTTGCGTTACATGGAGAGGAAGACCACGAGACCCACCAACGGTTAGCCTGACTGCAAGGGGACTCTAAGCCATGATCCATCTACCACTGAGGATATTTCACGTCAGCACTGAGGTCGCTGTATCCTCTAAGTCATCGCGGCTCTACGGTTCTGTAATTAATAAACTTCATGTTAATTTACTTATGAGGAGAAACTTAACACTAACTTTAACACGCCAATTTACTTATAAACGATCAGCTAGCGCTGACGTCATAGGATTTATATGTGTAGATATCTGTGATCTTCTTCTTCTTGAAATGCAAGTATCCAACTCCAATTTTTTTTTTTTTCAAATTTAAATTTTTTAAATTTGTCATTCAATATTTGTATTTTTCTTTTCAAATTTTTGCTTTTAAAAAAGCCTTGAAACTAAGATGATATTATCGGCATTTATCATAATATTTCTCCCCCTTAACAGTAAAAATGAGCAAATCACAAGGTTGGGTGCCGAGTTGCTTACTTTATATTTGAACGGTCCCTAACTCTTGATTTACTTCTAACTCCGCAAAAACGAACTAAAAATTATGAATGAAAGGAGTTTTTGCAAAAATAAATAAGTGCTTCTCTCGATTAATAAGAAGAAAGACAATGTATGGAGGTTTATAGAAATCCAACGAATCCCCTTAAGTTATGTGGGTGTACCACGGTGTGATCACAAAACTATTTACCTCTGATTTAGTTAACGAAATCAATCAGAATTTCGATTGCAATCAGAATTTCCGATGATCTGAATTTCGGGTAATCTAAACAGGCAACGGTTCCAGTTATTTTCTATAGAATCTTCACGCAAAACATTTTGTGCTCTTGTTTTTTTAAAGTTTAAAACGGGCTTCTAGTCCATCTGAGCAAACAAGCTTAGACATGAAAAGAATGAAAAACATTGACTTACTCAAAACTCACGTTAGGATATAGAAGTAACTGTATTAAAGTACAGTCAAACCCTGCTATAGTGAACTGTTCACTATAACCGGGACTTCACTATATCCGTTCCGCAAACAATTCTAACTGATGGTTCCAAACTCCCCCTCTTTTATTACACGATATTATTTAAATAAATGACAAATAAAATGAAATGCAGAAATGACTGAAAAATAATACGTAGTAACAAAAATGAATTAACTTATATTTTTTATTACTCTTCGACTTGTGTGCGAAATGAATTAGTAATCTTTAGCTGATGAGCAATCCTCAACATCAGATATGAGAAACACTTCCCGACTCTCCGATAATTTTTCCTCAATTTATGTTATTCCGCTTTTTCAACCTGTCTAACCAGCTATTAGAACACATAAAATTAGTCTCACCAAATTGCTTAGCAAATTTATCGGTTTTGACTTGAAGCATTTGTCTAGATACTGGAAGATTGCGGCTTCTTTCAATGCTGAACCAATTCAATAATGAAGCAAACAAGAAAAAATGCTTATTTCTACATTCCATGCTATAGTTAAAAATTAGTATATGCATTTTTTTATGAAAATTTCAAAACTATTACAAAAAAATGAAGAAAATAAATCAGTCGAAGATAGATAAAAGTTCATAATATATAACTACCTCTCTTTTTTGGTTCACTATATCCACAAAAAATAACATTGTACGTGTGTAGCAAGGGACAGGAGCGAACATTTCGTTCACTATATCCGGGAGTTCACTATAAACCAGACTCACTATAGCGGGGTTTGACTGTATTAAAATCATTTATTGTTTTTCTGGGATGTTTAAAGTATTTTTCCAGGCAATTAAATAATCTTACATCGTAATAATTAATAAGATGAGGTAGTCAGTAATATTTCTTTTTATTTTTACCACCGATTTCTGTCTCTTCTCTGACACAAATCACAACTAAAAATCTCATTTCAGAGAATAAACTGCTAGTGAAACTATTTCATTGACTGGTTTTCGAAAAGAGAAAATTAAGCTCTTATTACACTTAATTATTAACTATTTATCATTATTTACTTATCTCGAAAAACAAATATTTTGGTCGTTATGCCAACTTTACCCTTCCCTAAAACAAGCTCGAAGAAAATGATTTTTGCTCTTTGATGAATAAAAGTCAGTAAATCAAATAAATCGGGGCGGGAAGACTATATTTGAGGGTGCCCCTTGATTCTCGCCATGTTGTGATGGCGGCTGATCGCCAAGCTGGGCGATGTTGAAACCCAATCGTGATTCTGATTGGGTTAGATTTTAGTGTTATTTTTAAATGTTCAACGGTATATGTAATTTCAGAGTTCCGTTTGTACTTTTGAATTTGGTCAATAAGATCGAAGGTATGTGGGCAGTCATGAAAAGGGATTTAAGAAAAAAATGTCACCGCTAGTTCGGTATTACAGACGCCATTTTCGATTCGTATTTCGTCGAATTTATGTGGCGATGGAGGTACGCAGATTCTACTCATGATAAATTTACACTATAGTATCTATTAGTATAGTATTAGTATCTAACTGCCATTAGAGAATTCTGTGCACCTAAATCTGAGAATATTCAAGCTTAATGAAGAAGTTGTTCTTTTCTTTTTCTTTCTGCGCCTACTCCATTAATGTTTGTTCGATTCAAAATCCTTTTTATTGGATTTATTAATTTTGCTTATATTGGGCTCATTGCAAGTTTCGGCCGATGTTTTGTTGAAATTTTAAAATGTTTTATTGAAATATCATAATGTTTTGGCTGACATTCCTGTTACCACAGTGTTCCGCGCGAACAGGAATAGCACGATACATAAGTCGCCAATTTCGCCAAGAGGCACCCTCAAGTATATTTTTCCCGTGATCGCCTTATTACGATCACTGGTTGCCCATTGGTCAAATGATTTTTCTTTCCGGATTATCTCCACAACACTAAAACGCCACAACAAAAACTGCCTCCATTGATGTTTGTAGTCTGATTGATTTTCATATCCCACCTAAGTACGAGTTTCAAGACGTAACGAAATACTTTTCCTTCATCAGCATTCATATTTATATTAAAATCACCGTTAAGCCAGTAATTATACGTTAATAAGAAAAAGAATATAAAAATACTTTAAATTATTATTATGTAAATACATTAAAAATGCCTGCTAGTGAAAAGAAGAAGAAAAACAGCAGCCGTCGCCATGGCAACGCATGCAATGACGACGCATGCGCACTGTTTATTATTATTCTTGAACATAGCTGAAAACATCAAATCCAAAGCAAGACCCATTTTGCCAATTAAAATTTAAAATATAATTTTTGTCTATTCAATTTGTTATAATAATTTTTATAATTCAATATAAAAACAAAATTTAAAAACAATTTTTGAATATGTCTCTTTTCAGATTTTTCTGTTAAGTGTGTTGGCTTCGGCCTCTTCCCTTGCTGCTTCATTTTCACCACTAGACTTTTCATCACTCGAGAGTGTTCCGCCCTTTTCATTTCCCCTTTTGGAATCGGAAGCCAAGGAAGTGGACATCGAAAAAGTGGCCAAAGCTCTAGAATTGGACAAAAGTTGGCCTTTTGCCGAAAAAGATATATCATTTGAGAAAGGATTCGACTTCAGTGTGGGAAAAACAGAACTCGAAAAAGAATTCAGTAAAATTGGACTTGAGAAAAGTGTAGGCTGGGAGAAATCTCCTTACCCTTGGTACCTATACGAAAAAATTTTTGGACTTGGTAAGAAAATCTCTTTTGAGCAAGCTTTACTGTACGAACTGTACAGGTTGTATGGATACTATGGTCTTTTTGTGGCGAGAGAGTTACAGAGAAGATTCCAGATCGCCAAAGAATTGGGACTTGTTGGGAAGGAGATAGCCTTCCAAGAAGCCATCTCCTTAGGACTTTTTAAAGGTATAGGTCTCGAAAAAATATTCGAAAGTGTTAGAAAGATCATAGGTGCGGAGGAAAAAACTTTTGATTTTGAAAAAGGGTTTGGAATATTCAAGAAGCTGTAATGGGCAGTACTCTGATGCTGTGAAATGTAAGTAGCATTTTGCAATTTTTGTTTTTTTAATCGTATTTGTATCGTAATCGTATTTGTATTTTAATCGTAACCGTATTTGCAACCGCTGTTTTATCCTGAAGAAACCTATTTCTTTCAAGACACTGGATAAAATAGTAGAAACAAAATGGAAGAAGCTAAAAATGGCGTAGGGAATTTTTTTAGCAAAAATAATAATAGTAAATAGCTTAAAATTAAACAAATTATATTTCATACAAGCAATTTCATAAAATACTTTACATCAAAATTAAAAAAAAATTCTCTTTTTATTTTAAAGAATTTTAAATCTATATGTCATATATTTTTTTCAGAATCGGTTATATTCATAATTAACAGTATTTAAATATAAAATTCAGTATGCTGTGAGTAGTGTTTGTTGAAATTTACTCTTTAAATCAGTGTTTCTTAACCTTTCTGGTATAATAGACCCCTTTTAAAATGTTTTAAGAAGTCACGGACCACCCCCTGTGAAAAAAATTATTGCAAAAAACATCAATTATTAGAAAACATTCAATTTTATTATTTTAAGAGTATACAAAATTTTTAAAATTTAAATTTTTAATGAGAAGGTTGCTGCTGCTTTTCCGAATTAATAAATTGGATTGGGGAATGGTATTCGACAAAGCAACGCGCATATCATGTTCAACATTCAATCGATTTCGATATTTTGATTTTATTGTCACAAGTGTGGAAAATCCAGCTTCACAAAGATTCACTGTAGCAAATGGAATTATAGCTGCCATAGCTCGCTTTGGGTAGGCTTCCAAACATTTTATAAATTAGGAGTAGTCAGCGGACCCCCAAAATATGACTCATGGGAAGGTCACAGTCGACATCGGAACCTTTTACTACGAGCGGAATAAGCGATTTTATCTTTGCAATTGGAATACGCGATTTTGTCTTACAGACGATTTTATCTTTGCAAATATTTAAAAGATAACATTAGTCATATAAGCTAGCTTATAGCTCAATTTGATTGAAAAAAGAGTTTTTTGCGTGTACTTTAATATTTAGTTTTTTTCTCTCGCTATGTCAGATAAATTTAACGAGGACATTTAACGTGAGAGCATGGGAAGACAACATTATCAGATTTATATTTCTAAAGTTTTTTGGAGCCACGTGTTTATTTTGTTTAAAGTCATTCCTTTAAAGCGTGTTTCTATGAAAATAAATAATTTAAAATCAGCGGTAATTGGGTATAATATGAAAAAAGCACAACTACTTCCACTTACTAGGAATAACATATTTACCTTTTAGTTTAATTAATAAACTGAGTTTTAAATATGCTTACTAAATTCATAAGCTTCGGTAAAACAGCAATATAAATTATTTCCAAAGGAACTAGACTAATACAATTCCAACCTGGCGAGTAGCGACTTATGACAAGACACTTCGTTTGATGCTTTTACTTGTTGCTAGAAATCAGGTTCGCAGAAAATGCTGTTTACTAGTTAAATTTAGTAGGAATAACACGATCTGTGACGTAGGCTATAGTATACCCAAATGGGTATAATATAAAAAAAACACAACTACTTCCACTATGTAGGAATAACATTTACCATGACGCAATGCTAAATTCTATGCCACTATTCACATAAATCAGTTTCTCGTAAAAG